TTCGGTGCTGATGGGCTGACAGTTAGCCCCAAGACTGTGGTGATCTCCTCGTCAGATTCCCTGTCCCTCAAGGTCAGCAATGGGCTTCGACGTGCGGGAGTCCCAGTCACTGCAGTTCGGCATGCTGTGGATCTGGGGATGGATGCTTCTGCTGGCAGGTACCGCTCCCGGCACAAAGCGTTGGACCGTGTCAAGAGAGCCAAGTCTCGGGCCATGGCTATTCGTCGTATGCGCAAGCATGCCAAGCTCCGCAAGGTCACCAGTGCGCTGTGGTCTACTGGGGCGAAGCCGCAAGGGACTTATGCTCATCAAGCGTATGGTATCCCTCGTCATCTCATGGTGCAGTTGAGGCGACAGGCGGCTCAGAGTGCGGTTGGCTCTGGCCCTGGTCGTTGTCTCACGTCTTCTATTGCAGCAGCCCTTGGGAGGCGTGATCCTGCTAAGGTCATTCGTCGTGAACACTTGGCGGCTTGGCTGAAGATGTGGCGAGAGCATCCTGATCTTCATGCTCGGATTGCTCTAAGCTGGGGCAATATTTTATCTCGGTTGCGTTTGGCAGGTACTCGACGGTGGAGGGTCGTCAAGGGCCCTATCGGTGCTACGGTTGCCACGCTCATGGGTATTGGTTGGATTCCGCACAGTCCCACGAGTTGGGAGTCTGAGTTTCATGTTTGGGCCATCCCGTCGTGCGATGATGAGGCCTTCTCTGACTTCAGCCCCGATTTCACGGAGCTGCTGGATGATGTGGAAGCTACGGTGGATTCTCTGCTGTAGGCTGCCGCTGGACATCATGAAGCGGGCGAAGACTTGGCCAGAGGTGCAGATATGATGCACATTCATCGTGAACGTGATCGGCTCGCTGTTGTCAACGGCGAGGACCAGGTGGCGCTCAACCTCGTGGTGGCGAGTGGAGGCCAATGGCCTCGCCAGAGGCTGAGGGATGCAGGCTACGTGGTGCCCAGCTTGGGTCCTCGGTGCCATGAGAAACCTGAGCCCCTGTTCCACAGAGTGTGGGAACGCTCCGCTAACACCCAGCATAAGGACTTCGATGATTCCCAGCATTTGTATCCTGAGGCACAAGCACAGCATGAGGCGTATCCAGGATTTTGGCTTCGAGGCGTGCCTGGAGTGAGTGAGACCGTGCCTTCCTTCGCTCCTCTCCCCCCTACGGTTGTAGATTTTGAATCTTTCGACCTGATTCCCCGCGACGCCGAAGGTTTCGTGACGATCTTCGGTGATGGGTCGGGGGTCGTTTCTCGAGCGACCCTAGGCGTCGCAGGGTCGGGGCGGGGGTCATAGGCCTCACTCCAGTCGGATCGTCTTGGGAGCCCTCCGCGGGACGTGGGTCCATTCTCGAGGGCAGCAGGCAGTCTGTGCCTCGCGCGGAGCTCCTGGCGTTTCTCATGGCGCTCAATGTGTTCTAGTAATCTGCGCTTTGTCACCGAGCACAGGCCGTTGGTGGATACTTGGAGCAGAATTCAGCGTGTTGGAGTGTCGAGCTGGGTGTTGGGTTCGAACGCTGATCTCTGGCCCGATATCCTGAAGGCTGTCGCCTCCCGCGGACCTGGTGTGATCGATATAGCCTGGACGCCCTCTCATGTAGAGCTCGATCAGGTGCCTGTCCCGACTGCGCAGCAGATTTTTCATATGTTTGGTAATGAATCCGCAGACTCGTTGGCTGGATTCATGGCCGAGATCGCCTGGTCTCAGTATGTAGTTTCCCCTGTGCCGTGCACTGATGAGCGGGATGCCATGACCTCGCTGATCCGTCGTCGTGCGCGGAGAGCCCTTGCGTGTTGCATCCTCGCTGATCCATGGACCGCGGAATGGCAGCCCACCAGCAGAGGCGAGGCTGCGCTCCCGAGGCTCGCTCGCTCGCTTCGGGGCTCGCCTCACATGTGGGCCCGTGCGGGCCCGAAGTTTTGGTGCAGGAGGTGCGATTTGCTTGCCATTCAGGACTCGATTCTCCAGGTTTGTGAATCTCCCTGCAGGGGCGGTGGAACTCAGAAGTTCTCGCCTTATTCGGGCCCGCGGGTCGTGGGGGGGAAAGCCTTCCACGAAACCCATCGGCTCCATGTCTGGCGGAAATTCATGCTTATCTGTTGCACCCAATGCGGGGAGACGTGCACGACGGATGCACGGCATCTTGCCCGTCGATGTGAGCCCTCGGCCAAGGGCAGACAGAACCTGGCCCGCATCGAGCGAGGCGAATATCCTCACCCAGGAGGCCCCCCCCCCAAAGCGGTGCGGGAGGCTTTGGGCTCCTCCTGATATTGTAAGTTCTGCACTTGCTTTCTGGGCACTGTTTTGACCTACGTTGTCATTTAACCCCAAGTTTCCCAATGTTCCTCCCTCCTCTCCCTCCACCTCCCTCCTCCCTCTCCTCCCCCTCCTCGTGCTCCTCCTCCCCCTCCTCCTCCTCCTCCTCCTCCTCCTCCTCTCCTCTCCTCCTCCTCCTCCCTCCTCCCTCCCCCTCCACCTCCTCCTCCTTCCACTCCTCCTCCCTCCTCCTCCACCTCCTCTCCTCCTCCTCCTCCTCCTCTCCTCCTCCTCCTCCTCCTCCCCTTCCCTGTTCCTCCTCCTCCTCCTGCTCCTCCTCCTCCCCCTTCTCCCCTCCTCCTCCGCCTCCCCTCCTCCTCCTCCTCCTCCTCCTCCTCCTCCTCCTCCTCTCTTCTCCTCCTCTTCCTCCCTCCTCCTCTCCCCCTCCCCTCCCCTCTCCTCCTCCTCCTCTTCCTCCTCCTCCTCCTTCCTCCTCCTCCTCCTCCTCCTCCTCCTCCTCCTCCTCCTCCTCCTCCTCCTCCTCTCCTCCTCCCCTACCTCCTCCCCTCCCAACCCCCCTCCTCCTCCTGCTCCTCCTCCTCCTCCTCCTCCTCCTCCTCCTCCGCCTCCTCCTCCTCCTCCTCTTCCTCCTCCTCCTCCTCAAAGCCCCTTTGAGGCTAGCCCTCAGAGGTCACGGCATTATGGCTCGGCTCGTGGACGGCCCGATGCGGCCAGGATGACCCGCGGCGCGATTCCATGGGGCATCGTGTTCGTTCGATGAGCAGAATCCAGCAGAGTTCTCCTCGTTTTCCTCGGGTCGCCTACGGTCCCGGGGGAAACCGTGCACCCGCGTCCTGCCGTAGTCTCGGGGGTGCAGGCCGTTCGGCGCTCAGCCCCTGACGTGTTCTGTCCAAGCCCGCCTGGCTCGACTCCAGGCGCGTCCTCCCCGCCCCGTTGTGCCCTTCTCCGCGCTGCCATGCGACATTTGAGTGCAGTGTGCACAGGTGCACAGGGCCTTTCTCCGTATACCACTCCACGGAACGTTGGGGCTAGACTGCGTTAGCATTGGCAACATAATCGCGGCTTCGCGAGCAAATGTTTCATTTTGCGCTCACACACAGCCAGAACGGTGTTGGTTGAGTTACCTTACGGTAGGTTCGCGTCGTGTCGACCGGCGGCGACCCCAGCGCGGGCGTTCAAGGTTGAACGCCGCTGGCGACCCGGAATCGATCGATGTTGAACGATCGGACGTTGCGGAGACGGCCGATCGTTCCAGGTTGAACGATCCCCGCGGTGTCAGAAACCAACGCCGGGGTCGGCACGACGCGAACCTGCCGTACACATGTACTTCTGATGTTGTAGATGTCGGGGCTCTGGGCAGCTGACCCCCCCTTCGCGGGCCGCCTGGGCCCGATCGGAAAACCGAAGCCCAGAGCGCGGAACCGAGGACCGGCGGAACCAACATCACTACGGTAGGTTCGCGTCGTGTCGACCGGCGGCGACCCCGCCGCCGACGTTCAACGTTGAACGCCGCCGGCGGCCCAGAATCGGTCGGTGTTGAACGATTGGACGTTGCGGCAGCGGCCGATCGTTCAAGGTCGAACGATCCAGCGCGGTGTCAAAAACCAACGCTGGGGTCGGCACGACACGGACCTGCCGTAGTCACTAGTTGTACCGGGATCGGGAATCCGAAATTGACACAGGAATCATAACCAGAACTGAACCTCGACCGTGACGACCGCGGACTTAGAAAGCTAGAAGCCAGAGCCAGAATTGACCCCCCATTTTGCTGAGCGTTGAGCCCGAACGAGAATCCAGAACCAGAGTTGACCCCCAGCCCCCCCCCCGGTGGTCGCCAGAGCCCGAATTGGGACCGGAACAGTTCTTGGACCCCCTGGACCACGAACGAAAACAATTAGCAATCAGTGGATTTTGTGAATGTTCGCCGATACGCCGCGACTGTTCTCTCTCTCTCTCTCTCTCTATCTCTCTTTCTCTCTATCTCTCGTTTTTTCATCGTTTTTTCTCTTACCATTCAGTTTTTTTGTTATCTCTCTCTGTGTCTACGTCTGTCTGTCTCTCTATCTCTCGTTTTCTTGTTATGCTTTTTGATTGCTTTGTTATGTTAATTTGTTTTTCTCAACTCGCTCTGCTCACGATTTTCTGATGTATACTCTCTATGTATCTCTGTGCACGCCTGTGCTATCCATTCTCTGATATGCACTATCCAACTATCTAGTCCGGTCGCAAGGACCCGGATACATGGCAGCAGCCGAGAATTCGGAGATTTTTGGAACAGTATCTTGCCAGGAACCTGGGAACCGCGAGCCCGCGAGCCCCAGAACCCAGGCCGCCCACGGAAATCGGCCCAGTTTTTGTGAATCTGCGAAAGCGGCCGCCCACCGAAATTGGTCCAGAATTTTTCGCCATAGCCCAGAACCGAGGACCCGTCCTTCCACCGAAATCGGCCCTGAGCGCTTCGCCAAATCATCAGATTTCCGCTAGGACGCCTACAGTGCAAAGTCTGATTGGGGGATTGGGAGGAGAGGGTGGGGTGGAGAGAAAGTGTGAAGGCGAGGGGGTGGGAGAGAATGAGTGGAGCGGAAGGGCGAGCGGCGAAAGAAATGATGGGGCGGAGGGGAGGCGAGGCCAGCATAGGCGAGGGGAGAAGCAGAAGGGAAGCAGGGGAGGAGACAGGGGGGAGGCCATGCTTTGGGTCGATGTCGACGCCCGCGTTTCAGGCAGTGCCCATACTGCGGAAGCCGGTCGACATGGCGAAGGCTCGGCCACGCCGCCCCGCGGGCCCTTCGCAGCTGGCCGAGGTGGTCCCGCCTGCGATCTTGACAGCGTCGCCACCGCAGGTGGGCCACAATTGGTGTGTGCGTGCGCATTCGATAGCGAGTCGTATGTGATTTGGCAGCTTACTTGGGGGCGCTCTTGGGGGGTAACCAGTTACGGCCTTCACTTCGGGGGTCGACTGATGGACTCTTGGGGCTCTCTCGGGGCCGTCCTGGGCCCCTCTTGGGCCACTCGTGGGGCTCTCTGGGGCCATATTGAAGCCACCTTGAGGCCTCAAGAGCCCGTAGGAAGCGAAAGGCGAGAAGAAGACACACAAACATTGATTTCCCTCAGGTGTCTGGCCTATCGGTGGGGTCCGTGGGAGGCCCCGTGGCCACTTGGAGGCATGTTGAAGCTATATTGAGCAAGTGCGATACTGGAGGCCATCTTGGGCTATCAGAGGCCATATTGGGCGCTTCACCCCCTCGCGAAAACCCTCCCTCCAGACCCTTCGAGAGGGAAGAGGGAGGTTGGAGGACTCAACTTCCTAAACCAGCTAAGCCCTAAAGGGCTGGGGGGTCTACGCGGCTGGGGGCGGTTCAGTTTCCATGTGGAGTTCTCCTTGGATATGTCGTTGATTGTATGACCATATTGCGAAGGCCTTACGGCCAGTGCCGCCGACCCGGGTCCCCCGTTTGGCCTCCTCCTTGGAGCCGTTTTGGGGGGCCTTTTCGGCTGTCTTGGAGGCCTCTTGGTCGGTCTTGGGGCCATCTTGGGTCCTTTTGGGGCTCTCTTGGAGGCCTCTTGGGCGATATTGGGGCGGTCTTGGGGGCTTCTTGGCCTGTCTTGGAGCGTCGGGAAGCTGACAAGGCGAGAATGCCGAAATCTTTCAAAAACTTTTGGGAAATCGATGATTTTTGCTCCTTGTGGCCCTCTTGGGAGTGCCCTTGGAGTGGGAACTTCCGAAGCTGTCTGGAGGCTATCGCGACGCGGACCGATACTTCGGCGATTCGGGTCCCTCGAGAACATTCTTGGGGGCCTCTCGGGACACTTTTGCTACGTCTTGGGGACTGTCTGGGCTCCCGAACCGCCCGGAGGGGAGTCGTATCTGACCCGGGACTTCCCCGGGACCTGCCCCGGGACACCCCCCGGGACCTGCCCCGGGACCCCTCCCGGACCACCCCCCCGGGACCCCCCCCCCTCGGCGGGGAAGGGATCAAAGGGAAGGGGCTTCCCTTCGACTCAACTACAGCGCTGCTCAATTTCGCTGTGGCTGGCGCGCTCGAGGAGGAGGGCCCGGTGAAAGTGGAGGCAGCGGCGCCAGGCTCAGGGAAAGGGAGGGGACCAGCGACGGCGACAGCGACGACGACGACAACAAAGACTACGACGACGACGACGAGGACGAGTCAAACGGAACAGCCTCTTCCTCACGCCGACAGGGTCGGCGGATTTGGTCGTATTCTTGTCTAGTTCGCTACGAGGATGCAGGGCGGTGAATTGTTTTCCAACCAGGGCGGATGGCGGGCCCGCTGGTTGCGCGTCTCTCTCTCGGGGGCGCTTCCTTGCAGTGAGCAGAGATGCCTGTCGGGACTCGAGGCTGGGACCAATGACGGGAGGGCGCACCGCGGCGTCGTCGATGCTTCCTGGACATGTCAGCGGCGGCATCCGAACCGTGTCTTCGCCGATCGGCGATTCGGACAGCCCGACGGGCGGCGGGGGTGGGGTTCGAGATGCGTCGTGCGCGTGGCGGAAGCCGAACCCCACCCCCCCCGCCTCCCATCGATTCGGGAGAGTCGATGGCTGGTAGGGTTGGGGCTCGTAGACGGGCGGGCGCGCCGCAGCGTCGGTGGTGCATCCTGGCTTTACGCGGCGATCGACGGTCGATCCAGTTATCCCTGCTGCTGGTGCCCCCCCCTCAAAGCGCCAGGTGCAGTAGGGCGTGGATGCAAAGACGTGGCCTCGGAGGTCTGGATTTTATCCATACCCCCACTGGGCAAAGTGCTGAGCGCCTGTACTGCGAAGGCCTTACGGCCGGTGCCGCCGACCCAGAAGGACGACGACGACGACGACGACGACGACCACAACGGCGACCACCACGACAGCGACAACGACAACGACGAGCGGATGACCCTGCCACGAGCTCGGGACATGGGGCGGGCGGTGGAGGGAGGAGGAGGAGGAGGAGGAGGAGGAGGAGGAGGAGGAGGAGGAGGAGGAGGAGGCGGAGTAGGAGGAGAAGTAGGAGGAGTAGGGTGATGCGAAGGAGGAGGAGGAGGAGGAGGAGGAGGAGGAGGAGGAGGAGGAGGAGGAGGAGGAGGAGGAGGAGGGGGGTGCTCCAGGCCCCCCCTGCCCCTTCCTCCCCCGAGCGCCCGAGCGCCCGAGTGCGCGCGCGCGCGCCCTCAGACCCCCCGAGGCCCCGGCGGGGGGCGAGCGGGGCCGCCGGGGAGTTGCAGCGGCACGGGGCTCGGGGCTCAAGAGACGGGGGTCAATGCAAACGGGGGTCAATGCAAACGGGGGTCAATGCGCGCGGGACCGCCTCTTGGGGCCCTCTTGGGGACCTCCTGCGCTCTTGAGGTCGAAGACGGGGGCACGGCAAGCGCATGCAACATCGAATGCTTTGTCCTTGCCTCAGGCCGCTTCGCGGGGGGTTCTGGCCCGACACGCATTCCGTCCGCCTTTGTCGGGGCTCAAGAGACGGGGGTCAATGTAAACGGGGGTCAGCCAGAGCGCCAGATCTTGCCGGATCCCGCAGAGTCAGGTGGAGGCCTCTTGGGCGCTCTGGGAGCGATCCTGGGGGCCTCGTGGGCCGTCTCGTCGGAGCCTCCTGGAGGACCTCTCGGAGGCCTCTTGGGCCGTCCTAGAGGCCTCTTGGATACGCTGACCCGGGCTTGGGCGCAGGATCCTGCAGGATCTTGCAGTATCTTGCAGGATCCTGGAGGGCCTGACCGACCCGGGTCTGGATTGACCCGGGTCTGACCACGTTCGGGGAACCCGAAGGCTACCAGGAGCCAGGAGCCAGACGGAGGAGACGAAGCAGGAGAAGGAGGCAGAAAAACCCGAGGCGGAACATGAAAGGAGGAGGAACAGGAGGAGGAGGAGGAGGAGGAGGAGGAGGGCCTGACCGACCCGGATCTGGATCGACCAGGGTCAGTACATCCCCGGGGGGCGAACCGCGTCCCCCCCCCCTTCGGAGGCCGAAGGAGCGTCTGTGCCCCAAAAATCCGCCCGCACCTGCCTCTTCTTGGCATGGCTCGGACCTGTGCATATATGTTGTGCCGGCCTCCGGCCAGTGCCGCCGATCTGGGGCGCAATGATGATGATGATGATGTTGTTGATGATGATGATGATGATGATGATGATGATGATGATGATGATGATGGTGATGCTGATGGTGATGGTGATGGTGATGATGATGATGATGATGATGATGATGATGATGATGATGATGGTGATGGTGATGGTGATGGTGATGGTGATGCTGGTGATGATGATGATGCTGATGATGATGGTGGTGGTGATGATGATGATGACGACGATGATACTGATGCTGATGATGATACGATGATGACGACGACGACGACGACGACGATGATGATGATGATGATGATGATGATGCTGATGGTGATGGTGATGATGATGATGATGATGGTGATGATGCTGATGCTGATGATGATGTTGAGAAGGACGATGACGCTGACCATGATGATGGTGGTGGGGTTGTTGATGACGACGGTTATGATGAAGATGATGAGGAGGAAGAGGTAGGCCATCATATGCTGTGTCTTCCGTCCCCACATCTTTTGGAGCTCATAAGGGGCCGTCCTGGGGCTGTTTTTGGCTTTTGTGAGGAGGGAGGAAGAGGATGGAGGAGGAAGGACGAGGGAGGAGGGAGGAAGGAGGAGGCAAGAGGTAGGGGGGAGGAGGGAGGAGGGAGGAGGGAGAAAGGAGGAGGGGAGGAGGGGAGGGAGGGAGGGAGGAGGGAGGAGGGAGAGGTGAAGGAGGAGGAGAAGCAGAGAGGAAGGAACACGAGGAGGGAGGAGGAGGAGCAGGAGGAGGAGGAGGAGGAGCAGGAGGAGGAAGTGGAGGGCTCCCTCTTGGGCCGTTTTGGGGTCGTCTTGGGAGCCTCTTTCACGCTGTCTCGGGGGCCTTTGGGACCGTCGGAAGCGAAGCCCCCCCGCTCCCGAGCACTGCATGGCGCTGGGAATGGCGTCCCCCCCCCCCCCCCCCGCAGAGCGAGCCCTCCCCCCCCCGGCTCCTAAGCACTGAATGGCGTCGGGAATGGCATCCCCCCTCCCCCCCTCTGCAGAGCGAACCCCCCCCTGGCTCCCGAGCACTGAATGGCGTCGGTAATGGCGTCCCCCCCCCTCCCTTGCAGAGCGAACCCCCCCCGGTCCCGAGCACTCGTCCACCACCCCCCCCCCCCCCCCCAGAGCGAACCTTCCCCGGCTCCCGAGCACTGAATGGCGTCGGGGATGGTGCCCCCCCCCCCCCCCCCTGCAGAGCGAAGCTTGAGCGAGCTCAAGTCCACGCTCTCAGAAGCTCAAACGCGAGATCGGCTGATTTTTCCTCTGCGAGCACCATCGGCGAGCACCTTCGAGCATTTTAGAGATAAGCGCACGAAGCCGAAACATACACGGAAACAGGACTTCCGAGCGATGGCAAGTCTTGGGTGTCGCGTCATGGGGGGGGAGCGATTCGACGGTGGGGGCAGCGAGGGCTGCCGAAAAGGGAGCCCGTTAGGGCCCAGAAGGGTACTTGCAGGGCCGCCGAAGAGTGCACCTCTCTCCCCCCTCCCATGTTTCGCCTCCCCACTAGGCCTTAGCCAGGCGACCGGCCAACCAGCCAGCCTCCGTCCGTTCTTCTGTCCCTCCTCCTCCTCCTCCTCCTCCTCCTCCTCCTTCTCTCGGCGATGATCCCGGGGGGGAAGTGAGGAGGGGTGCGTCTTCTCAGAAGGCTCGGAAGGCCCCCAGTCTTCTGAGAAATTGTCTAAGCCTCCCCGAAGACGCAGAAAATCTCTCAGAAGGCCAGAGGCCTTCTGAGAAGCCCCGCCGCCTTCCGAGAAGGCCTTCTCCTTCTCACTTCCCCCCTCGCTCGCCGCCGACTCAGGACTCGGGACTGCAGACAATTTGATTCCTGTCAGGAGCTGCCCTCGCCCCCGCCTCCTCCTCCTCCTCCTCCTCCTCCTCCTCCTCCTCCTCCTCCTCCTCCTCCTCCTCCTCCTCCTCCTCCTCCTCCTCCTCATCCTGGCAGTAGGGCCTCGCTGGGGGCGGGGATGCTGCACGAGAGGGCGACACTGCAGCCCACAGGGGAGACGACCCCCAGAGAGGAGGGAGACCAACGGGTGGGGACGACAAGGGAGGACACCGCAACAGGAGGAGGGAGAGGAAGAAGGGCGATGATGAGGAGGAGGAGGAGGAGGAGGAAGAGGAGGAAGAGGAAGAGGAGGAGGAGGAGGAGGAGCAGGAGGAGGAGGAGGAGGAGCAGGAGGAGGTGAAGCAGGAGGAAGAAGGGCGAGGAGGAGGAGGAGCAGGAGGAGGAGGAAGAGGAGGAGGAGGAGGAGGGCGGCAGGCCGGACGAGGAGGAGCGGGCGAGGGTAGGGCGAGGTCCCAGCAGGCAAAGTAGCCCCCTGAGTTCAGGAGCGAAAGAAGTACGCACGCGTACACGAATCCACGTTGGTTTCGAGAGCACGCCTTGCTCGGGCCGGACGAAAGGGGGGGATAGGGAAAGGGGGGGGTACGAAATCTGCTGCATGCAGCTGGTTTCGGCCCCACCGAGGGGCCCATTCCTCGATACATAGACGCCTCCGGCGCCGGGAGGCGCCAGGAAAATCAGCTACGTGAGCTGATTCTCAAACCCCCCATTTGCTATCCCCCCCTCTCGCCCGACCCGAATCACGCGGCCCGTCTCGCGGATAGGGGGCCGTGTTTATGTAATTTATGTAATTTATGTACGTGGTTGGGCGCGTACCTCTTTTGCGGGCTCCCTACAAGCAACCCCCCCCTGGACAGACTCGGTGGACACTGTAGCGGACATAGCTCAAGTTGTCTCTGAAGCTGTTGTGTTCGCCAGGAGCCGACCATTCGTACCACTGAAGATCGAGGATTTAGATCGAGCGCCGGCAAGGCTGTCAGCCAAAAAGGCCACAGTCGTCGACAACTGCACGATGGATGACGTTGCAAGGTTGCCCTTGGAAGACTGACAAGCATGTGTTCAACTGCTTAATGATTGCGAGGAGGCTGCTACTTGGCCTCGGCAGATCCACGCTACTCTGGGCGCGGTAGCCCCCAAACCTCAAGGGGGGACCGCATCCTAAGCCTCTTGCCAACTCTGGGCGGAGTTTGGTCACGGGCAAGGGCGTCCCCAATGAGTGTGCGGTCAGGTACGCTAGCCGCCCATTGGGATGCAGCAGTTTCAGGGTCGTCGACACTCAGAGAGTCGATGGTACGTTAGCTGATGGACGAAGCGGCGATCGCCAACGGGAAGGTGCTGGCCTGCTTGCTGTTGGACCTGCAAAAAATAATGGCATTGTTTCGCTCGTTATTTTGCTTCAGTTCCGAAACAAGTGCAGCATCCCATGGTTGTTACCATCGCGGAGGTTCCGATGCGTGTGGCGCCTAGATTATTCAAAGCAAGGGACTGGCTTGACCTGCAGATTAACGTCGCGAGACCCTTTATTGTCTGCAGCCCCAGAGGTGTGCAATTGGCAAAACGGTTTTTGCATCCAGTTTTGGAGCATGTCCATCGTATCCGTCCACTCCTATCCTTCCGCACCGACGTGGATGACACGTCGGCCAGAGTTAGAGGATTATGAGAAGGTAACAGTCACTGACATGTTGTTGGAGGTCGGGAACGAGCTAGCATCCCAGCTCCGTTAACACAGGCTCACCATCTCGGACAAGACGATCCTGATGGCCTTCTCTGCTCCTTTGGGCCGGTGGTTGGTGCGGGCAGTGCAGTTGGAGGGCATCCCGGCGCAATTAGCTACGACCGCGACGGACTCGGGATTGGACAGAGCTGCTGGCAAGAGGAGGCCAGTCAAGAACATGGCAGCGCGAAGGAGCAGAGCACAGAGACGATGGGGGCGCCTCCTCCGTATCAGGCAGCTGGGGGCTTCAGTGCAGCGTGAAGCTGAAGGGCTACGGAGCTCACCACCCACCAAACCGAAGGCTTCAATTTGCCCTCCATTTCCAGTGGGGGGGGGGATCGGGGAACATCGACACAAACACGTGGTCCCCGTACCCCCCCAATCCGAAATTCGGGTCAAATTCGTGTCTTCGGGTTGGGTTGGGGTGGTCTGGTAGGTGAGGCATAAGATCGAGGTCTAAGATCGGACGGAGGTGTAAGATCGAGGCCGGTTCGGGGTGGGTACCCTCGTGTTCTTCGCGTTTGTTGAATGTGCTTGTGCATCCTGGGGAGGGTGTCCTTGGATGTTCTGCATTTTGGCCGGCGGAGGGCCTCATGCTAGAAGGATGTTCTTCTAGTCAGCGGCGAGCGAGGGAGGAAATGAGAAGGAGAAGGCCTTCTCAGAAGGCGGCGTGACTTCTCAGAAGCCCTCGCGTCTTCCGAGAAGTTGTTTTCCTGTCTTCGGGGGAGACGCAGAAAAAATTCTCAGAAGGCCAGGGGACTTCCGAGCCTTCTGAGAAGGCCTTCTGAGAAGGCCTTCTCCTTCGCACTTCCCCCCTCGCTCGCCGCCAATCTAGCCAAGGTCCGACTGTAGATTTCGTCGCCCTACCGATCGCCCCAGAGGTCTACTTCGGTCGGTTCGCGTTTGTTGGATGTGCTTGTGCATCCTGGGGAGGGTGCCCTTGGATGTTCTGTGTGTTTTGGCCTGCGGAGGGCCCCCCACGTTCTTGAAGGATGTCTTTCTAGCCTAGGGTCCGACTGTAGATCTCGTCGCCTTACCAATCGCCCCGGAGGTCTACTTCACCCCACAGTACGTCCAGCGGTAGCAGCCGCGGCCCCGGGGTGCGGCGGCCCAGAGAGCGCCGGGCGTGCCCCGCCCCTCGCTCGGCCTGTGCGCCCTCGAGGGAGGAGGAGGAGGAGGAGCAGGAGGAGGAGGAGGAGGAGGAGGAGGAGGAGCAGAGGAGGAGGAGGAGGAGCAGCAGGAGGAGGAGGAGGAGGAGAGAGGAGCAGGAGAGAGAGCAGCAGGAGGAGGAGGAGGGAGGAGAGGAGGGAGGAGGAAGGAGGAGGAAGGAGGGAGGAGGGAGGAGGGAGGAGGGAGGAGGGAGGGAGGAGGGAGGAGGAGGGAGGAGGGAGGAGGGAGGAGGGAGGGGAGGGAGGAGGAGGAGGAGGACGAGGAGGAGGAGGGGGAGGATGATGAGGAGGAGGAGGGGAGATCGGAGCTCGATAACGGCCAATCGCCAGCCGAAAAGAGAAGCAGACAGCGGCGTCGTATTTCACGGTGATCTGTTCAGAGTTCAGAGGCCTCCGCGGGGACAGTACTGCAGAAGGGTGTCCTGTTGCTTGGCTGCGCCGCTCTTGGGGTTACACCATCAAGCCCTGGCCGCACAGCCACGCGACCACTGACATACAACCACCCTTACAGGGCGCGAGGGCGAGGAAATAAAACCCACGACAGGGGCCACAGGCGCACTCGGCGCTGCAACCCTGGGGCGCCGCGCCGAGCTCCCTGCTTGCCTGCTGCCAAGCCGGGGGGCTGCCCGCCCGCGGCCTGGGCAGCACAGCCCACGCACTGCCCTGCAGCTGGGCAGGAAGCGTCCGCCACTGGCCACGGCAGCCAGGACCAGACAGACGGGACAGACCAGCCGGACAGGACGACATGGCGACGACCACGACCAGCAGCGGCGGTAGGAAGCAACACAACGGCAACCCCCTTTGGGGGGCAAGACTGGGGTGTGAGTTTGGAGCACACCTTGTGGGCGACAGCCCGTCGCCGTTTATCCCACCCACAAGACTGCTGCGCAATTTAAAGGGTTAAGAAGCAAGCGCTAGGCCTCTAGGCCTCGACAGGATACAGACATAGCTACACAGTTGGTGGCCTCCGGCTGGAGGGAGAGGGGAGGAGGAGAGGAGCAAGTGGAAGACGAATGAGGGGAGGAGGCGGAGGAGGAGGAGGAGGAGGAGAAGGAGTGGGGGGGAGGGAGGGGGGAGGAGGAGGAGGAGGGGGAGGAGGGGGGAGGAGGAGGAGGAGGAGGAGGAGGAGGAGGAGGAGGAGGAGGAGGAGGAGGAGGAGGAGGAGTGGGGGGAGGGAGGAGGGGGAGGAGGGAGGAGCAGGAAAAGGGGGCAGAGGAGGAGGCCACATGCAACACCGTCATACCATCTTACAGCCACCCGCTCAAACCACATAGCCTGCACGCTGGCGCTAGCCCGTTGATGGCGAAACATACCCGCGGTATGTGGAAGATTGCGCTCGTGATGGAATCGGGTCGCCAGGAGAAAGGGATCACCCCACTACCTACGCAGTAGCTTGGGCCATTTTACTCGACCTACAGCAAGGCAGCTGCTCGGTACAGGTCCTGTGCCAAACTACAGCGGCAAAACATAACAATGCCTGCTTCAACATCTCGGGTATTCAGAATGCCCCGCCAGGAATTATTTCGAGTACGTGAGCGACATGAGCATCAATGTTACAACGCCAAGTGCTGATAGTTCTAGCACGACAGACAGCAGACAGCAATGACAGCAGCAATAGGAACCAGAAGTTCCCGTGCGTTCGTACAAGACTATCCCTACATGATCGCCGAGACGAGCGCATCGCCGACAGCAGTACGTTTCCCATGCTACGTATTTGTCCTTCGACCCTGGCAGTATGTTCTACGCTACATTGAACATTACGACAGCACCTATCGTCGCGTCACTTGAGAAGGCCTTCGTAGCGAAATTGCAGAACCACGGGAATACACCGATTACCGCGAGAACGATTCGAACCACAACGGTACGCGCACACACACATACACATGTATTTATATACAATCTACACACCATGGTACTGACGAGCTACAC